TTTAAAGTCATACTGTGCCAAAGTTAAAGGAAACAAATAATACATAACATATCAAATTTATGCAAATAAACTAATCAACAGTGAACATTTATGGTACTTATAAACTAACAAATTAGATGCCAAAAAGCTACTTTTGAAATAATTTAAATTTTTGAAAACACATTTGTCTTTTTTCACTTCCTACTTTATTCCTAGTCATATCCTTACATATTCTTGTATAATATAGACACACAGACACATACAGGCCAAAAACCTTGGAAAAGGTTTAACATACTTCTGATGCTAGGCATATGCAAATTAATGCAAGATGTGAAAATAAATACAGACTGCTGAACCATCCTGCCCAGTTCTGAACAAGCATAAACTGGCTGCCTATCTATCTGAAAAATGAGGCATGGTGAACGGTGCACACAATAGCTCAGACCTATCCCAGGCACACACACAGAGCTCGGTGAATGTTGTCAGAGCCCTAAGGGCCACCCCCTGACCAAATCTCAGTAATGAGAGTCTGGGAGACTTCATGTTCTTCAATCTGAAAGAGGCCAACGCCTATTGTTTTTTATCTCCTACTTCTGGAATATGAAGTATAGCTTTGGGCCTCTTAGCCCACACTGCTAAACAAGCCCAGTATATATATCTAGCGCTAAAAAATATCCAGGGGTAAAACAAGTTTCAGTCCCTTGTGCCTCAGACATTCTAAGATCTTCTAAATCAGCATGGAAATCAGAAGTCATGAGTCTCCTTGGTCCATCACCAATGCACAATGCCTCCTATGCACATCTTTGTGGAAGGAAAAGGCGCAATGTCCCCGACCTCACTCTCAAGTTCTTTCCATAAAAGCATATATTAGAGGTCAACCATTTAAAAATCAACCCTCAAAACCCTCTTTTCTAAATACACTATAAATGGCTGCAAACTTGTAACTACTCTTTGTACCAAACATTTAGCCAACTGAGCAATGTTCTCCATCACATGCATACAAGTAATATTGTAAAAAGAATTTTCAATAGGACTTCTGCAGCTAGACTTGCTGAAACAGGCAGACAAGAGTGAGTTCTTGAAAATCAAATTCCAAGGCAAATGTCTTAAAGCAGGAAATCGGGGCTATGTTGTTAGAAGTTTGCAGTGGCTCACAAAGACTGCATTTGGTTCTGTCCAAAACATAACAAGGATAAAACGCCTCTAATATTAACCAGATGTGACTACCAGCTATTTTAGAAAAGAGGTTCATTTATGGCTCCTAAGTAGTTAATTTTAACTTCTAAAAACCCTTGGCTTCCTACTGCAGGTCCTGTCTGGACTAGCACCCTCAGTGGGGGAGGGGAGCAAGCCAGGGTAGGGAAGAAAGGAGCTGGGGCCTAGCTTTTAACCAAACCTATGCTGAGTTTCTCCACGTCATACATCATTTCATTAGGAAACCACTGGCTATTCCATTTGAAGGAAGAATTACAAATTACAAATGCTAAAAAAAACTCCTAGACCTTAAACTCAGCCCACAAGGAAATCACTGAGCTTTTGTAACCCAGAAGAGCAACCAATTGGTCAGTTCTTGTGCTGTCCAGCAGCTCCCTCTGTGACAATCCAGGGGGATTAACAAGGCAACTTGTTTTTAAGTCTAGAAAAACTCAAGGTCTTTATATTATGAAATTCATAACACAAAGCCTACTAGCCAAACAAACATTTATTTTGGAAAATTTACAGACCACCAAGAGAGCTGTGAACTGTCACTACTCACAAGGGGGGTTTAATATCATTACAGAGCAAATGGGAGGACTGCGGAAGAAATATATTCTGTTGTCCATTTCTTGATGGGACAGTGGAGAGACTGTGCATTCTGGCAGTATAGTCCCAAGAAGAGGTCTGAGCCGTCACCATGACTTCTCACCATGGTCTGCAGCTCTGGAGATGGATGGGCAGGAAAGTCAACACCTTCAAGCTGAAGATCATGGGAAGCACTGCCAGCCAAGCCCACTCCACACACAGAGCACCTCGGTAAGAGATGCTACAAAGAAGCACAATAATGGGATCTGTGCTTTGGTTGCTAGAGTAATTTGGGGATGGGAGCTGCCTGGAGAAGCAGGCCTTTGTGCTAGACTGCCAGAAAGCTGGGCCAGTGTGTCAGGCATTGTAGCATACAGCTGCAAGCCCAGCTAGTGGGAAGGCTGCAACAGAAAGTTCAAAGTCAGCCTGGGCAATTTAGCAGGACACCATCGCAAAATTAAAAAGAAAAACCAAGACTGGGGATACAGTTCAGTGGTAGAGTGTTTACTTAACATGTTTTCAATCCCTATCTCCTAAGAAATAAAAAAAGTGGGACATTTTTAAGACTGAATAGCTCAATAATTCTTACGTATAAGCAAGGCGATCTACAAGAATAATGTGGCAGTTGGTCAAGAATCTTTAGTCACTCCTCAGTGATAATCTTGGTAGAGAATAGGAAAGGGTCAGTATGAGACAGAAATAGATACTGTTCTTGGTCACACAGGAAAAAAATCATTATCAATTCCTTTATGAAGAAACTGCAGACTTGAGAAAGCCACCGCAGAATATTTTAAGTACTACACACTGCCATGTCAAGACCACATCCTAGGTCTCAGTCCCCCATATGTCACTCTGAACACTGCTTCTATTCCCTTCTGTAAAGTCGGTTTCTCCTCTGACCCTTTCATGAAGTTACATGGCCAGCAGACTCTCCCTACTTCAGTCCATTTCCAAAGTCTATAAGGGTGAAATCAGCTAAGGCACCCTGCTTTCTTCTCAAACCAACTGTGGCACAGAAACAGTTTTCTTCCTCCATGGTAGACAAGTTTCATTAAAAAGCATGTAATAAAATGTTGCTACTAAAAAAAAAAAATAAAGACATGAATGAAAACCCCACTTTAACATTTATTATTAGACATACAAAGTACAGCCAAATTGCAATTTCAAAAAAATTCATTCTGTTGCATTGTATCTAAACACAAACCTGACTCTGTGATCCGCAGTCTGAGGAACCCCCAGGGCTTTTTAATAACATTACATCCATTCTGTGTAACACAAATTAATTCCGTCTCGAGTTCTCCACATCTCAAATTCACATCGCACCTGATAAGACAGCGTAAGAGAAGAAGAGGGAAGGGTTTCACTCATGGGGAGGCCTTGCGTGAGCCCACTGGTCTCCAAGAGCACTGCCAATGGCTCCTCCCATGAGCAACCGCTCCAAAGCACGTAAGTAGCACATCTGACACAACCCTCCATGCTGCTCAAACGCAGCCCAATAACCTGGACCAAAGCTCCATGGCGACAGGGCTTGGCTGTCATTCTCTCTCATTCCGCTGTAACTATGTGTCTGCTCATGAATGTTTTGAGACCAGAGGTGATAGGGTTCTCCCAGGATAACCTAAACTTGATTATAATCCTGTGCCTTCCAGAGCAATGGCTTCATCTCCAGGAGGGTTAGTTCTTAAGCCTCTATGGCGTATCAGTATCCCTGCTTCTGTTCCTAAGGTCAAGCTTCAACCCCTAGGTACCAAAGGAACAAAGAATTTAGGCAACTGCTGATCAGCCAAATGTATCCACATTCTCACCACTGACCTTCCCACTGTAGCCCTGCTGAGGGCTTATGCTGACCAATAAGCAACACCACTGTTTAAAAAAGTCATCTCCAGCTCAAGGACATAGTCACTGCATTCATTACCCCTCAAGTCTCCTGACCCACTTTCCTGAACCTTGCTGTGCTTCTGCCACCACCTGCTTTCTTCTTCTGGGCACCCCACGGGCAGGAGATAGAAATTTGAATTCAAACTTGTTTGGTCTTCTTTTCTATAAAGTCCTGATTGTTTTTTAATGAAAAGCCTTAAAACCTAATTCTGGCCTACTTAACCTTTAATATAGAATGAGAAGCAGTTGAGTGATTCCCTATGACTTCAACCCCAGTAGATGGTCCCTCACCCAAGTGTATGGCTGCAGATGCTACACTAATAGTGCAAGCTGGAGACCTGAACCTGGTACACACATATTACAGTTTCCTGCACTGAGTTTTAAAAACTGTAGGCATCAAGTTAGCACAAGTCTTTAAAAATAAAACCTAAAGTACAATTAATTCACCAGGATTTGCTAAAGCATATGGCACCAGATTCCACTGGGCTGTGCCTTACTGCTAACAATACACCTAGAAGAGAAAATCAAAATATTGAAGGTACTTGTAGTCAAAGTGCAACTGAAACAGAGTAACTATGATAAAGTACGGAGTATCTTGAGAACTCCTGGAAGCAGAGGCTTTTTAATAGCAATAGCTCTGAATTCCCATGGAACAGCAACCTGAAAAGCACAGGTAAAACGGTTGTTCTTTCTTAACAAAGACCTGGAGTCAGGTGCACATGGAAGACGCATGAACACTGACACAATTCCCAAGTGACAGCAGACACACAAAACCAGAAGAACACACCTTACTTGCACAGTCAGAAAGGAGCAGTGGTTACTCTCGGTCTCAGCACTACTGAAAAAGCAATCCATGGGCGTTTTACTTGAGAAAAATGAAAGCCATCACAGAAGTATACCTCCTGTTCAAAAAGCCATGCTGCTTGGGCAAATTCTGACAAGAAATCTGCTTGTTTCCCACTTTAGCATTCTATTAGGAAGCTAAAGAATGCTTTCCAAATACCTTAAATGATAGCCAAAGTTTCCACACAGCAAGTGAAACATAGTTCTTCTGGAAGAATCTATGTTTCTTTAGAAAGTTTTCAGAAAGTTTTTCAAAAAATAAGGAAATAAAATCTCCCAGTATACCACAAGGGAAAACAGAAAACATGCTAGGACAGTTGTCTATTATTGCTGTAATAACGTTCTCTTTATGTTTTAGATAAAGTCAATGAAAAACCTTTGATGGTGAAGTGCTTGCTAATGCTTTTCGCCAAACTGAAAATCTAACAGTGAATCATGGGCTTCCTTTCCATCTCCAAACCATGCAGTACAACACTGCACCCCAACACCTGTGAGTGTGCACAATGAATGAGTCTTACCAGACCATCACAGTTGCTAATGGCAACAGAGGTTCCTGGAACATCCACAATGTCACCAACATAAGCACAGTTGGTCAGCAAAGGCTCTGTTCTCCAGATTCCTTCAGAAGCACTTTCAGGTCGATAGTCATTCACAGGACTGGTTATATTCCCAGGCACAGGAGAGGTTTCATACCATTCCACAACAGCCCCAGGGGCTACTAGCTGAGTGTTGGGCTTTAGTCGCAAATGAAAATCTCTTCCAAATGCAGTAATGTTAAAAAATAATTGTTCTGAGTTAGAAGACACGTCCCTCGCTGACCTCTTTTTGTGATTTGCAGACAGGATGTGGGAGAGATAACGTCCTTCTAGATCTGTGCTGAATGGAGTTACCAGCTCATATTCTCTATGTCTCCGCATTGGTAAATCTGTGGGGTAAAAAAACAGAACTGTGAGACCCTGTGGAGCAAGAGCACACAGACAGACCTGACAGAGGCACCCCGTAGCACACTTCAGTGTGCATAACTACATTCCCAAACCATTTCATAAATATCAACCTTCGAGAACTCAAGTCAGGTTCCAAAGGCACTTACGTAACTCAATGAATCATTTTTTAATTTTAAAAAACGTATTGCACTGTGAATATTCATTTTATATGTTTCAGAACATAATATAATAAAAGTTTCTATTAACTATATATGGCTTGCTTAAAAATCAAGATATAAGACCAAATACCTTATTACTGGCATAAGTGGCATCTGCTACAAGCTTTTTTAAGGTTGCTATTATGAAGACAGTTTTATATTCTTCTCAACTTTTCCCTGTAGAAATTCTAAAATCCATGCTAATTCCATGTCACTCATGTCACTCCTACAATAAGCCTGTAAGTTATGCACTGCAGCTTACGATGGTATAGTTTACACAGGTTTTTAGTCATAACAACCCTAAAGCCATACTTCACAAGTGGAAACACCAATGGAGGGAAGGCTATGTCTAAGATCACACAATTATGAACCTCAGATTTAAATTCAGCCACAATCCAAAGCCCGTATCCTCTCTAACCTGTATCTCACTGTGTCCCATCAATCCTCATTTGCAGAAAGTCAAAAGAATGGACAAAAAGAAAAAACAACCTGAAACTTGAACACACAGATACCAGTCACGAAAGAACGGCATTCTCATCTGGTGTAACGTCCCTTCCACAAAACACAGACCCACTTGTTAACTAAATTTCACAATTAGGACTTATTTCCCCTACCACGGCCAAAGGTTAGTACTGTATCTACTAAAATATAATCACCCTTGGAAAAGACGCTAAAAAGATATTCTAGAGAATTCTAGAGAAACAGAAACAATGGAAAAGCAAGCACAGATCCAGGCAGGCACACACTAATCATTCTAACTACTCAGGAGGCTGAGGCATGGTGGTTCAAGGCTAGTAGCTTTAGTTAGGGCCTGCCTCAGAATAAAATTTAAGGGGATGTAGATCAGCATGACAGTCCCTTCTACTATGCACCAGACCCTGGACTCGATAAGAAAGATGAAAAGAGCCGGTGATTTAGCTCAGTGACATAAGTGCCTGCCTGGCAAGCTGGCAAGTGTGAGGTCGTGAGTTCAATCCCCAGTACAAAAAAAAAAAAAAATAAGCAAGCATGAAAAAGGAAAACCTAGATTATGAATTAAAAAGTTCCCCACCTTCATAGCCAAAAGGACACAGGCTTACAGATCTTTTCATTAAAAGGGAAAGGGAGGAGGGGAAGAGGTGAAAAAGAATTAAGATGTGTTATGTCGGGGCTGGGGGTTTAGCTCAGCAGCATAAGTGCCTGCCTTGCAAGCAGGCAGTCCTGAGTTAGATCCCTGGTACTGATAAAAAGGAAAAAGACAAAAAAAAAAAAGATGTGTTATGTCAATGCACCAACTCCACACCAGGAATGTAATCATTATGTACTGCAAAATTACTTAAAAAATAAAAATTGTAAAAATTACTAAAGAACAATAAATAAATAAAAATAGTAAGTTCCTCATATTCCTTACTTCAGCCCAAGATTTGCCCTGTAGTATGTTCAAATGCACGGTAAAAATATTCACAAACTTTTGATCTATAGAAAATGCATGTTTTATCACCAATAAAGTATTTAGAGAACGAAATCCACATGAGAACCTGTGCTCTTTATAAAATCATTGTAATTGCTATGTTCTTAAGAAATGTGTAAAGTACTGAAAGATGAAGGTAGTTTTTCAACTTGGGAACTGGGCATGTTTATCATTACACCACATACAACAACCAATGCATTAAACAAAAACTGCTCGCTAAGAGTGCCAAGGAAAGGGTGAGGGCTGTGCCATTAACAGCACAAGGAGAAGCCTGGCTTCGGCACCCACAGTGCACAGCCCTGCCACACTGAGATCAGCAGTGGGCAGCACCAACGAGGGGTTGGTCTCTAATGACAAATTCATAGTGGGCGACTCCGTATTTTGGCTTACAAAAGGAATGGTAATTTCAGAGCAATGAGGGCAGGTTTCTATAGTACAGGGGGATCCAGCCCTTGGGTGAGCGCTCAGCCAAACCCAGACTGAATACTGATCCCTGAGAACCAGGAGGTCCCCAGGCAATGCTGTGCATCATTCCATTCACCAACCAGCATAAGACTCACACACAGCGCCCACCAGCTGCACCAAGAGGACGGCAGAGACTGTGGACTCGTCTCTATGCAGCTAGTCACATGACTTAGCGAAAGGACTGCCTAAGATACAGGAGTGCACGCCTGCACCAGTAATCTCAAACCTTCCTCTAACCAGTTCAGCATTTCACGGAAAGGATTTCCCAATCCCACTGAAAGGGACTCACACAAGATAGTCGAGACAATACACTAACAGTGGGACTAAAAGACGGCAGAATCCTCAAGGCCAGGGAGAAACAGGAGGTTTCTACACACCCACGAGGACCCCGCAGCCTCCTGCTCACACTGCCCAGGACAGTCCCATCTTCCAGTGTCAGACATGCTGTAAATTTTTAGTCAAAACAAGGACAGTGCATTTCTAGAAAGCTTTGACTTTCCTAGTACTCTATTATAAATCATTCCTAAATTGTACACATAAAAACATTTCTGAACTTATACCCTGAATCCGCCATTTTTTAGTAGGGGAGTAAGACAGATACATGCCTTGGCCCCTTGGCCTCCTCCATCAGCTGCCTTACAGCAGTGAGCAGACTAACAAGAGGAAGCCCAGGCGCCTGCCACACACTGGGTCAGGAAGCACTGCACTCTGTGTTTCCATCTGAGAATACATCACCTCCAACCCAGTAATCACAGTGCAAATGCTACCAGCCCTGTCTGTAATGAGAAAGTAAATCTAGAAGGCCCAACTCACAGCAAGTGAGGGGACCTAGAGGACATTTTAGTCCTGCTCCTTTCACAGCTGACAGAGGGCTCACATCTACCTCAGAATGCATGAACCATCTTGCTGGCAATTTCCAATTTAAGACTACCACAAGCAGGATGGTGTTCTATCTACCCAAAGCCAGTCAACCATGTTTCCCCCAGTGTAACTTCAGTAAAAGGCTCTTAAATTCTAAGTGTTAGCAGGGAAAAATAAAAAAAGTGGGGAGAAGTTTAAAGCTATCAACAGATTTTAATCTCAGATTGCAACTACACACAAAAACCAAATTATACCTGATTCAGAACGTACGCACTTACAAACCTACCATTTTCCTCACAGCAGTACAACATATGGCAAGGGGATGAATTTCTTCTTAATGAAGTGTAAGAGTTTGTTTGTTTGTTTGAGACTGGGCTTTGCTATGTAGTGGAGGCTGGCCTGGAACTCATGGCAATCCTCCTGCCTCACCTCCCAGGTACTGAGATTACACACCCAGCTTCTGCATCGCTTGTAAATTCAGATTCCTCAAGGGGTCACTGGAGGACAGTAATACTTCCACCTTCATGATGGTGACAGGTTTAGGTGAGATTATACAGATGATTCAGAAAATGTTAATACCACCAATTTAAGTGGAAATTAGCTACTCAGAAATGCTATATTCCATTTTAAAGTCAGGATCTGTACACCTGTAGCTATAATGGTTCGGTGTCCCAGTGGTCCACATAAAAAGGTTTCTGTGACCAAGACTTCCACTAGTACAGAGAGCTGGAGTGACCCCTGTGGCAGACGCACTGGCGATTTCGCACAGGCAGCGGCTCCCAGGCACTGTGAGGATGCTGCCTCCTGCGGGGGAGCCAGCACAGGCCCTGTGCGTGCCACTCCTGCTGCCTCCACAACACAGCCAGCACACATCCTCTCTTCTCCGCCTGTTTCCCCACTTCACTCAGTCTTTCCCACCAGCAAATCAATAAGCTCCCAGCACATCCCAATCAAAATCAGTGACACCCCCACCGAGGGAACCAGCCCTCCCAGCGGGAACCCCCACCTGCCTCCTCCCCAGGGACAAGGGACAGCACCATTCCTGTCAGATGTGGGCCCCTCAACCTCGAAACTCACTGCCTGCAACACTGTAAGAAACAAATCTCTGTTCCTGATAAATTCCTCAAGCTAGAGACCTGGCTGCAGCTAGAACAACCATGTAGCTAACACTCTACTCCTGCACCACTCTGCAGACACGTCGGACTCTCCAAAGTCACGGATGACCATGTTTTGCTGAGACCAGTGGTCAAGACTTGAGCTCGTGACCTGCCCTGCTGGCAGCATGCGACCCAGCTTACGTCTCCTTGGCTTGACAGCACAGAAGGGCAGCAGGACGGGCCCAGCCTCCTTTCTGTGACCGTCACCTCTGCCTGAGCCGCCCCTGCTCCTCCATAACCATGAAAGGTTTCCAGACTAGACACATCGCGCCAGGCTTCCCCATGAACGCTTCTCTCCGAAGTCCTGATTTTCAGTAGGTATCGTGACCCTCCCAAAGGAGACTCCCAATCTTCTGGTTCCCAGATCTGTTCTCTCTCATCGGTGCATGGCAGCTATCTGCTTCTAGTTCCCCAAATTCAAAATGTGACCAATCCATCCTTAACTCTTCACACCACAAACCTGTCCTGACCCTAATTCTATTATTGATTCTACCGTCAAAATATACCCAGACTCTGGCAAGCCACCACCACATCACTGCTACTCACCCAGGCCAAACCAGCGCCACAGCAGCTCTGAGTGTGCATCCCAGCTGCTCTCCTGACTCTGCTCTGTCTCTCTTCAAGTCATCCTCGGAACACAGCCAGAGTAACTGAAGGGTCAGTTGCCCCATTCTTCTCCTCAGATCGATCTCACCACAGGAAAATGGCTTGTGCGCTCTTACAGCCTAATGGGAATCTCACATCACCAGCTGTTTAACTTGCCACTTCCTGTGCTCCCTCATCCCCAGAACACCATGGCTCAGTCTCTCATGGAAGTCTTTCTTGACCTCCTATAGCCATCTTATCACTCT